ATAATTAATTTTTTAAATCATATTTTTTTTGTTTTATTATTTTATTTAATTAATAATAATTTTCAAAAAAAATTTTAATTATATATAAGATAAATATTATTATTTCAACTTGTTATTAAATTAAAATATAATTTAAATCTTATACATATTAATTATCAATTTTTATTTATTTTTTTATAATGTAATATCTTCTTAATATTTTTTAATTTAATTTTTTAAAAATCAATTATATTATTTACTTTAATATTATATATGTAATTAAAATACATTCAAAAAAATATTTTGTTTATTTTTTTTATATTTAACGTAATCAATTAATTTGTAATTTTAATTAATAATTTTTTAAAAATTTAAAATAATCTAAAATTCAAAAGTAAATTAAAATAAATAAAAATATTTTAAAAAAATCATATACTGTATATATATATATATTTATTTAAAAAAATAATAAATTAATAAAAAATATATATATAAATTAAAGAATTTTTTTAAAAAAAGAAAAAAAATAATAATTGTTGTTTACTTTATTAATTAGAAAATCAATATTATTAAAGAAAATATATAGACTTTATTATTATAAAGATATAAATTTTTTAAAAATATTATGATTAATTTACAAAATAATGTTTGTTAATAAATACTTTTTACTAATTAATACCTATATAATATTTATTTTAATTCTTTTTTTAATTTTTGGTTATTTTATAGATCATTTTATAATTTTTATTTTGTTGTTTTAAAATCTGTAAATATAAATTTTTATATTAATATGTTGCAAATTATAAGCAAGAAATAATTAATACTTTTAAAAAAATAATGATTTAAAACATATTACTAAAATTATTAAAAAAGTTTAAATAAAAAAGTTTTTTTGAAATTATAAATTGATCTTTTATTAATTGAAATATTGATAAATAAAATATAATAAAAAAATTTATAGATATAATTAACAAAAACCATTATATTATCAAATAATTAAAATCAAGATATTTATAATAAAATTTTTTCAAATAAATTTGTTTTAATAATAATTTTTGCGTACCAGTTTCTATTAATTTATCTTGTATACTATCTGTACAGTATATAAAATTCATGAAAAGTCAACAAATCAAATAATATTTATGTAAATATATTAAAAACAAATAACATTCTAGCTTCTTAATTGTCATCAACCTCTTTTTTTATGAACTATTAAAAACCATTAGATTCTTTTACCACTACAATCTCAACTTCACTTATTCTAATATTATCTTGATCAACTATCTCCTCACTAAATCTAACTTTCAAATGTTTTGTATTATCAAATTCGACGTTATTCATTTCTATATTTAATTCTTTTTGTAAAATTTCTTTACTTGAAGTTGTTTTCAAGTCACTGGTGTCGGAAATATTGTCTGCATCGTTGACAAACGTGTCTCCGTCTTTTATCATTTTCATTTCTGGTGGTGAAGCGGGATATATATAAAATATGACCAATCCCAACAATGTACACGTGGCTGCTAGTGGGTAAAGCGGATGCATCTGTTTTATAATTTTTATAAAAAAATGAGTTTTTTCGCTAACAAAGATAAATATATAAATAATCTTAACGCACCACAACATGAAATAAAATCAAACTAAAAGCCAAACTATAAAAATCACTTGTGAGAAACGAAAGATTAAAAAAAGTAGCTGAGGATAATTTGAATAGTATCGGAATTCCTATGTATATTATGATCATCATTATCGCAACGGCGGCAAGTAATGAGGCTATTGTAAAGAAGAAGAATAATAACTGAAATTGAGAAATTGACCAATAATTTTTTGTGAAGTTATCCCCAAATAAAATTAGATGTTAAATGGTTTACCGTTTTGCCAATTCCATTCGGTGGTTATTAATTCTTGACGCTCCAAAACGAATCTGAAAAGTAAGCATTCGCATTAATTGCATTAGTCTTTAATTTTTTTATTAAAAGAAAAAAAACCCACATTTGAATTAGACTAATGAAGGTTCCCCAGAATCCCATTTGGCCTAATACTTCATACCATGGACGCGTACGAACCAAATATTCTTCCATGACATTTGAAATTGCGTAAAATGTTGCACTTATTATACAATATATGTCGCCCCTTATAGGGTCAGATGCTTTGATCATAACATTATATATCAGAAAAAAACTGTGAGAAAAAATCAATCATAAGAGGTGGACATATTACATACCAGAATTCATATCTTCCTGGATCAAAAACCCGATTCCAGCCAAACAAATACCGATTCCCAAATATTGACTCCAGTGGTATCCTACTTTTAAGAATGCCAAAGAAAGGATAACGCAAACTGGTATAGCCCATGCGTCAAGTAATATAGTTGAGAGGACTGATGTATATATGTAAGCTTTTATGCCAGTATAATTTGCTTGCACATCAATAAATGCTAACAGAAAATCTTAAGAAAATTATATTTGTTATTATTATTATTAGACAGATTTATCACGTGATGAACACACTTACACTTCCATCCGAAGCTCTTTAAAATCTTGAAATATATTTTCCAACCATTCTTCGAAATGGTAATCGGTGTAAATATCGTAGCACATCCAAAATATAAGAATAATCCTTGCGTGGCAGGTAAATTGAGTTTGTAATCAACTGCCAAAGCGGTAATGATGATAATAGCTATTGAGATGCATAGCGAAAGGAATTGACCCAAAAAGAGGATTTTCAAGAATTCCCTAGTAAGAATAAATGAAAACTTTGATTTTATAGTGTGATCTTGTAATTCATTCTTTTCGTATTCACTTGGTTGCATGAGATTTTGCCGTGTGAAGTTATGAGAGTCTGCATGAGATTGTTGAACTGTATCATTTTTGTGTAGGTCTCGATAAAGGGATTCTGGTAATGGTGAACAAGGCAAAATACTGTCAAAATTATCAACCATTTCTATCACTTTCTTTTCGCCTAAGGGTTTTTCTTTATCGAATTCCATTTTTTTTTTTTTCTCGTGATAAAAATCATGTTCAGTCGAAAAAATCGCGAACTTTATGAGAATTGTAATCGAAAAAAGAATAACCATAAATGCTAGATACAAGAAATAAATTTACTTGGCATTAATTATGTAGTATTAATAATGAAAAATTAAACAATGGAAACAATTGAAGTAACTAAATTTTTCCCCCAAAAACGAGAATAGGTTTAAATCGCGTGGTTTTGTTATCTTGCACATGATTTTTTAATATGTTACTGAAACTCCTTAAATTTCGAATCTAGTTTTGGTTTAAACTCATTGCCAAATTCAAAAATCTGTCTCATTTCGAGTGAAACCTAATTATACTTTTGATTTTAGACTTTAGAATCGGGTCGATTTATTTATATACAATATAATACCTTCGCGAAGTCAACAAAGAAATTTTACGTATAGTGTATCTGTTAGAGAGATATAGAACGTTTTACTGTATATGCAAAACTATTTCACGACAATGCTTTTTATGAATGTGAAAAAAACTTTGATATATGCTTTGAAATTGAAATTTTTATTTCCACTATAAATCGCATTTTCTATTAAATAAATTATTCGTTTTCACTCTTAAAATGCGAATTATCCTCTTTGTTTTTTGTTGTCTGTCTCACCTTTCATCATCAAGTGCAAATAAATTAGCATCTAATCTCGGATCGATTTTAGCATTAACAGTATTTGTATGTCTGTATCTTAGTTCATGGAAATACTTTACGTTCAGTATTCCCTTTGGGATTTACCATTCCGAATTACCACCACCGTTAATGTGGTAAGCGTGATGAAGACCCGAATACTAATCTTGGTAACTCTAGGCGTAACGTGAGAAAGTATTGAATGAGAATGTTATTTGCCATGCGGGTAGTACTCTTAAAACCAGAAATAAAATTTTGTAATGTAACAGAAAATGAGGTATTGGATATATTATAAAGATTGGTCATATTCACAAATATCGTGCACCATCATTTAGTGGAATTGATGTTCTGCCCCATCGATAACGAAGTATCTAATCTCAAATGGTTCTCAGACCTCGGGATGGTTGAATGCGCTATGTATTGTATTGTCAAGCAGATTTTAATGAATCTTTTCGAGGATTTATATCCTTAATTAAAATATCAAAATAGTAATTTATTGCATTTTATGATATCATTTTATAAACTATTTCTATTTGCTTTAACATAACCAATTTTTCTAGAAAAATATATTTTATTTTATTTTTTACTTTACTTTAAATCTAGTAAATTTTAATGGTTTTTTTTTTTAGTATTTGAATAATCTTTTCATAATTTATATTTATTTGATTTTAATTATAAATTTTATAAATTTTATAAATTAAATTCAATCAAATGAAATGACTTGAACTTTATATAAATCAAATTGTATTAAAATTTTAAGTTTATATTGAAATAATAACAACAACAATAATAATAATAAACACAGTATTTGCAATATATAATAGTTAAATTTATGTTATAAATATTTGAAAGTTAATTTAATAATTTTATTATACAGTAGTGTCTTCATAAATTAATAAATTAATAATTATTTTTTTAAATTTAAAAAATTTCCTAAAAAATTATTATCTATATTTTAATGATCTTTATAATTTTATAAAACTTTAAAAAAAGTATTATGGTTTCAAAATCATTAACTTATAAAGATTTTATTATATTTAATTTTTTTTTAATTGCAAATCAATATCAAATCTTTATAATTTATTAAACAATATATTGAAAATATATATTTGTTTGTTTTATACTTTTCAAAATAATAATAATAATAAATTTTTATTAAATTATTATTTATTAATAAAATTATTAAATTATTTTTTTTAATTTAATTATATAAATTTGTTTTTTTTTTTTTTTTTTTTTTTTTTTTTAAGTTGAATGACATTAGATACAAGTCTTTATTGATACTAAACATATCTATACAATACATCAAACATCTTCTGTAACTGTTACACTATAGCTTAATGC